GCTGGAACATTTTAAAGATCGACCAAAATTGTTTTCGGTTCCCACTCGAGGACCTCGGAAGATTGAAATTCAAAAGACAGTCGTAGCTTTCTGTGCGGACACTCGTGTTAAGCGGGGAGAGTTTTACTTAAACGACCGCCCACATGCCAACCATATTGACATTTCCGTGATTGTAAGCAGCTACGAACAGTTTTAACGAGTGTGATTTTGGTTATTCTGTTATCGCACTGCCTTTAATTTATGTTGCGGACTTAGCTAAAATGATCTTTACCATCGCCTGTAGTTCCTAAGCTCCCTCGAGTTGACGTTTTCTTTACAATGCTCACTGGCTGCTGAATCACTATCTTAAGGGGTGTGGGTTTTCCGTGTACGCCAAACCTGAACTTTTAATGTACTGATTTAAACACTTTCCACGTCTTGGCGACCTTAGATTTAAACGAATTGCATCATTCTAACAAGGATATCGTTCAAGAGTTTCTTTAGTTGAAATCACTTCTCTATTTACATCTATAATAATTATTTTAGCGCTTGGCTTATCCTTACCGTAAACAGGTCCCAAGTTTGGCTATTATGCTGTTGTTCAGTTTGTTTGGAACCCAAATTTAAACAACAAACTCACGCAAAGCAGAAGTCGAACATAATAGAAATTCATCAGCTTTAGAATATATTAAACGAATTGTAATTTGTTCTCATCATTCATTTGACAAGCCTGATTATTTGCAACTCATGTAAGGGTTGTTGACACATCATGTCGGCGTAATTTACAACATTATGGTGCTTTTTGGGCATCAATTCAAACACCATTAGGCATGTAATATGAAATCCTTTTTAGCTTTGTGTTCAAAATCTGTGTACGATATCAGACTGTTTTAGTTTGGATGCGACTGTTGTTAACATCACGGCAATGTAAGCTTGATTCCAGTGTGTTCAGACAAGAGAGGATAAAGAGTAAGAGAGTCGATCCCAAACGAGCCTTACACTCAGGGTAATTCCTGTCATGTTATTTTTAGATCTCTCCCGATTAAGGTTTAGAAACAACCAATCCCGTGATGCGGGGCTTGATCACGTGGACAGTGCAAGGGGCTTTACACTTATTTACATCCTCCAAGAAAACGTCCAGGCAACGCGCGTTGTAACATCTACGGAAGAAGTAGGCCCATGTCGGCAAAATACTTGAGAGTGGTTGACCAGGAAATAAGGCCTACGTGGG